AGTCCGATACCGCCGCCACCCGCGCCACCAGATCCACCGCAGGAGATCCCTAAGAAGAGCAGCCCGACCACCGGCGAGAGAATCTTCAGCGCGCTCAAATCCGTCACCACGCAGAGTTACATAGATGCTTCGGAGTTTTATAAGTGAGTTATTATCGAAAAGTGACTAGTTTTATAAAAAATTTACGTTTTATTAAAATATATATATATATATATATATATATATATATATATATATTTGTGTTCACATATAATTCCATATTTATTAATTCAAGATTTTTTCCTCTTTCTTATTATATGTATCATTTAAGTATCATGTATTTATGAATTTTTCAGCACGCAAACCTTTAAAATTTCCGCAGTTTCGGAAATGGACAAAAACAGACATTGAAAAACTGATAAAGCAACGTGAAGTCTTTTCAAAATGCAGAATGATAACAATGTTGGATTTCCGCGACGGAGGAAAACAAGCGCAACGCAAAATCCATAGTTATTTTTCAAGAAGATTCCACACAAGAATTGCATGGATCCGCGGGTCGCAATGGTGGGGTAACATCTTTATTGGTATCGTTCCTGTTGTGTTCGCAGCGCCTTATTTAGCGGTCCGTCCGTGCCAGAACTCGCCAGGCGTTACAATACATCTCGAAACCGAACCAGAGTCCGCAATGCGTCCGCAACTCTCGTTGGATATAAATCGTTGTAACCGATGCGGAGACAGACACTTGCGAGATATGGTTTCTTCTCCTCCGGAAAGGGTAGTAACGGTGCACGAACAAACGTATGTGTGACTTTATAATTGTAAATTAATTCTCACGACATGGAATTTTATATGGGACGTACAAAAGGCCGACAAGTACGTTACGATACGACGAAAATACAGGTGCAGGAAAACACGAAGTGCAGGATGCAGGTCTTATTTCGCTTCTAATTCTCCATCATCTGATCGAGCTTTTATAAATCCTTCTATTTTTTTTCGATCATTGAATTTCTACCTTCGCGAAGCTAATCTTCCCGTCAATGTTAATTTGAAATAAAATAAAATTTAGGTTTCGGCGCCAACCGAATTATACTAATAAGAGTAAAAATGAACCGCGAATCCGCAAAATTGCTTCCGAAGACGAGGCATTCGATGACTGGTATTTTTCAAGAAGCAGACTCGGAGGCGTCATCGGGACAGCATGAGACAACAGGGATGTTTTTACAACTGGTTTACGATGGTATATAATTGACGAATCGCGCGAGTCGCTGGCAATGTACAAAGTTCCATCGACGATGAAGATATTCCTCGTGTATTTCCTCATCTGGGGACTGGCGAGTGGTCAGGTTCTCACCCCAGAACAGTTGCTCGCCGGTGCCTCGGCCGATTCTTCCGCGACGAGCGTTGCTTTCGGCAATCTACCGGATCAGGGATCGTTGGTCAGTTCTTCCAGCAACGCGTTCGCCAACAGTCAAGTAGATGGTAATCAGGGATTTGAGACAGGATCTCAAGCGCAATCATTGGCACAGGCGATTTCGGATGCGATCGGGCATGGAGACATTTCGGCAAATGCCAACGCCAACGCGGCGACGCAAGCAGTCTCTTTAACGGAATTCTTGCAGCAAAACGGCGAAAGTTCCGCGAACGCGGAATCTCTGGCGAAAATAATTGCGGATTCCCTGTCCAAGACACAGGCTACGGCTTCGACAGAATCGGAGAATTCCGGATCCATAAAAAGAAAGTACTTCGTCACGAATTACTCTTCATCATCATCTTCGTCTTCGTCTTCGTCGGACAGCTCTTCCACGGCATCTTCGAGCTCGACAGCCACAGCCGACGCGATATCCGACTCCAACGCTGACTCCTCCACGTTCTCCAGCGCATCATCTTCCTCGAACAGCAACATCGATGTTTCGGCGAAGGCTATCGCCAAAGCGGAAGCTGAAGCAAAGGCGGCTTCAAAAGCGGCGGTGGTAGCTCAAGCGGAGGCCAAGGTTCAGGCCAAAGCAGCCGCTCGCGCTGAGGCGGAAGCCAACGCGGCGGCTGCCGCGAAAACGCGAGCGGAAGCGAAGGCGCGAGCCGAATCCGAGGCCCGGGCGCAAGCAGAAGCGCGTGCGGAGGCTTCCGCGCGAGCCGAGGCCAAGGCTAAAGCGGAAGCATCGGCCAAGGCGGAAGCCAAGGTGGAGGCCGAAGCCAAGGCTAAAGCCGAAGCTGAAGCACGAGCCGAGGCGGAGGCACGAGCCGCGGCATCCGCGCAAGCTGAGGCTGAGGCACGGGCGCAGGCCAAGGCCGAGGCGGAGGCATCCGCGCGAGCGGAAGCGATCGCCCGAGCGGAGGCAGAGGCACGCGCCAAGGCGGAAGCTCGAGCGGAAGCATCGGCGCGGGCCGAGGCTAGAGCGAAAGCTGAGGCCAGGGCGAAGACAAAAGCTGCGGCTATGGCCAAGCTGGCAGCGCTAACTAAAACAGTAGCTGAGGCGTACGCTAACGCGATAGCTAAGGCTAAGGTGTCCGCCGAGAAAATCAAGTTAGCGAGCGAGGCCACAATGCATGCGGCGAAGGCGATCAAGTTGGCGTCTGCGGCGCAAGACGAAGCTGCCATCAAAGCGTCCGTCGCCGAGGAAGCGGCAGCCGCTGCCGCCGTCGCCACCGGCGAAACGAACGCCGCGACGGCCGCGGTCCAGGCTGCCCTGATGCTGACTCTGATGATCTCCCAGTCCGCGGATCTCACCCAGAAAATGGCTGCCTCTTACGCCCTAGAACTTGTGAAAGCAGCCACGGCTGCCGAAGCCGCCATCGGATATATTAAAATTAAGGCATACAGCGCCGAGGAGATAGTCGCTCTAGCGATAGCAGCCGCCAAAGCGGCTATGTCCGAGCATGCAGCGAGTAATCTAAAAATTGAAAGATTGGCCGTGTATGAAGAAGTGGTCAAAGAAGCCAGCACCAAGGCCGCTGCCATGCAATCCGTCGCTTTGGAATACGCGAACAAGTTCTATCGCGAAATGGAAGAAATGGCTCAGAGACGAGCCTCCGCATCCGCCAAGCTGGATTCGAGAGTTGCGAGCTTGGAGTCGACCATTGCGGCGCAAGCGAATCCTCTCAACGTCGTGATGGATGGGATTGTCGTCGGTTTGGGCGACACGCCCAAGTTGTCGATCAAACATGTCCAAGTGAAAGCAAAACGTTACTCGTAGTAGTATCAAATTGGTCAAAGCGACGCGACGAGATAAAATCTGTAACAATTTTTATCATTGCAATAAAATTAATGGCAGAAATAAAAATTATAAGAAAACTTATTGAAATGTAATTATATAAATACAGTTCTCTACAGCAGATTAAAATTATTTTTTATTAATTCCATAAGCAATCTTTCCTCGTATCTTGTTTCATTTCCGAATAATTGTTAAGTTATTTGCGAATTACTAGACTTTTTATCGATAAGGAATTTACTTTTAAAGACTTTAAATATTTTATAATTAAATTGATAAAATACATTTTATATTTCTAAAAGATGAAACTTCATATCTTCAATTTGTAAAATTTTACATAAAAGATTACATTATTTATTTACATAAATTCGATCAGTTTTTTTTAACTTTTTTAAAAAGAGAAAAATGCAAAATAAATGTTGTATAAAATAAATCATAGCATATATGTTACTAATCTGTATAAAAAAATTAATTATTTGGAATTCTTTATATATTTAAGTGCGATATGTGTGTGTGTAAACATGTATATGAATATGTACATAAAAATGAGTGAGATTATCATTAATAAAATATTAATTTTTTTCTGTTTTACATTAATGTTGCATTTTATTTGAAATAGTGTTTCAAAATACAAAACTTTTTTATCACTCGAACAAATAACGTGAATGTAGCACTGGTAGTACTGGTATAACGAATAAAATTTTTATTATAAAAATTTCTCAAATACTTGTTTTTTATTCTGCGCATATCACTATAACATTGTTTTTAAATGTCTTTTCATCGCTGTAACTAACATTTATTGTTAGATAAAACTTTTTTAAACATGTACTGTATTTTTTTAAAGAACAGATTGATTTTTTCAAATTTTTATAATAACTGACAACTCGTATTTTGCAAGGAACGTTGAAATTTTTATCATTATTACTAAAATTTGCATCTTCTTTATTCGATGTTTTCTTATCGTCTCCAATTATTTCAAGATTATGTAATATGTAAAATTTTTCACGATTATATAAGATTTATTGCTTTCGCGGTGTTTATCCCAAATATATAATAATTGGAAATGTATAATAGCCATAATAGACTTTTTAATATTCTTTTATTTTAGATCCTCTTCATAATCACAGTCTTATTCCGCTATTTAATTACGTTAGGAAAAGTCACACAGCAATTATTGGATCTATAATTACAATATTTAACGACTATATTTAATGAGCAAACATAGATTGCATTTATTTACTGTTGAAATATATAAAAACACTCGTTTCGTAATATTACACTGAAACGACTTTACTAACTGTGAAAATAAGCTCGTGTGAAAATATTTATCGTTGTGAAAATACTTATATGCTGTGTACTTTTACATTTATTTTTTCCGATAGTTGCGTTAATTGAAGAAGAAACAGACAGAATTCAAGACAGCGTTTAAAAATTGCTATGTGGCAATTGTATGATATTTTTAATTAATTAAAAGGATCGTTTAGCTTTTAGTATTGGAATCATGTATTTATTAGATGTTATAACTTGTGCAAAGTACGTTAAAACTAAGGGAGTATTGCATTAACATAGCATAAGAAAAATTTAAAATGAAATAAAACACACTAGCAATAAAGTGTGTTTTTCTATTAGAACACAAATTAAAGCACTAGCATAGTTAAAGAGAACAGCAAATTGTTCTTATCCATAATTTTTCTTCAACACAAAAATGTAGGTAGAATTCATGCCGAGGAAGAGGGATTCTGTTTCAAATTGCAGATTATTTAAAATAGGCTTAATGTTGCGGATTTTAGTTTAACAAAGCTATATATATATATA